ACCGTGTTTCAACGCCAAGTTACTTACATTATACATCAATACATCATTCAAATGTAACATCATGTCGCATTGGCATTACATAACACTGAGATATTGAGTCCCTAATTTTGTACATTTTTCTTCAAACAAACTCACTTTTCATCGAGATAATGCTTCATTTTCATCACAAATTTTGTAAATATTTAAAACTTTAGATGAGTGTGGTCGATTATATACTTCCGAAATAACTTTGTACTTGAGCCCAACAAAAAAGGTACCGTTATTTTCTATGTTAAGTATTATTCATAACATTTATTATAATATTATTTCTCAGAAGTACATAATTATGTTTTGAATCTTTGCAATTTATACTCAATGAACTGGTCTGTAGCATTTTATATTGAGTTAAGTCGATGTTTCTTACATCGGTAGTCAATGAGCCATTAAAATGTTGGTTTTGGAAAGTAAATTTGTTTGATATGAAGAGATTTTCGGAACTTATGAACTGTTTTCGCTCGCCATATCTTCGTATTAGTTGTAGTGGTTTCTTTGGTTTTCTTATGTCAACTTTCAGTTTCGACAAAAAATTTTCGAAAAGAAATGCACTAAAATTATCTAATACTCCAAAAATAAATCATTCTTAATGATCACAAATTGATTATAATTTGAGTCTCAGTTCTCGTTACTTGTGAGGAACATAATCAAATACATTAACGAACGAACACTCACCACGTTGCTCATGCATGGGAAGCAATAAATAAAAAAAAGATTAACTAATATCGTCATCTGCGAAAGCCCCAGTCTAGTGGTAATATCATTAACCCCTTGAATACCGATTTATTTTAAAAATTTTTGCGTGTAGAACAGATTTAATTTATTCATGTGGAATAATTCATTTATTTGAGTGATATACATAGTATCGAGTGGACTTAAGGTAAAACAAATATAAATATTTTATATTAAACAAAAAATGCAAGATATAACTCAAAGCAAATTACTAATAATTTTCAAGGATATGGTACTTTTCAAAGCAACTTGGCAAAGTGGTACTTGGCATTTTTTGCACTGCCAGGTAGTCTCTTTTTTAATTTTATGTTTGTAACAAACACAACACTTTTTCATAGGGTTTCGCTTGGATTCAGTTGCTGGAATGTTTTCAGGAAAGTGTGCCCAATTTTTCGCCTGCAAACGAAGTGGTGTATCGCTGTTAAATGAACGTCCACGGCAATTATAATTAGGCAATGACATTTACTCTAATAATTCTTTAGCAATAGCTAAACGAAAAGAAACAATTCGTCATTTGGCTGTGCAGTTGATTTTAGAATGTAAAATATGTGCATTATAAAACGCCATGTCTATTAGGTAAAAAAACATTTTCATGTATCCCTTTACACACTTTCTCATGACAGGGAAGCACGCTAACATTTGATCCTGCTTATCAACGCCTCCCATACCTTTATTATACTCAAGAATGCATAATAGTTTTATAATTTTTTCATGACAAAAAGTGCATGACGAGTCTCAGTCGTCAAATATACCCAAGGGGTTAATAATGTAAGTTTAGTTTGATATTACTTGTATTACTTGTAATATTATAAGGAACAGTCATATTCGAACGCTGGATAAAAATAAATTTGGGCTACAATCGACTTCTAATACGAATGCTGGAGATATATTCATTATCCTACAATCGACTTTTGATAAGAGTGCTGGAGATATATTCATTACAACTCCATCATAATCATTCGGAATGCAATAAGTAGTATTGTAATGGCTGTACAAACCGCACTTGATGTTAATGGTGTGTGAAAAATATAACTCACATCATTTGGGATACTGTGGAAGTATATTTATCATTCTTAAATGTTTGTGTTTAACATTGTTATGTCTTTTCATGATTGAATATAATACAGATTTACAAAATATTGTGGGAACGCTACGGCAATATTGCCTGCGATATTATATGACAAGAACATAGAGATATTATGGCAAGATTGCAGCAACATTGTTTGAAATATTGCGATCTTGCAGTACAATATTGTTGCAACGTTGCTGCAATATTGAGTGCTGTTGGGGTTAGTTAGTACTTACATCTAGGATTTAGGCTACTTTCAACATAAGCGGCACATTTGAAACAAATTTTTCAGATAATTATTGAAAAGGTCATATTTTCGAAGTTGTTACATTAGTTAAATGTTTTAACTTCTCGTTAACGTAGCTCTTTTTACCAAATCGAAATTCCTTGTTGCCCTGACTTCGTGAGATGTACGAGCCGTTTAATAAGTTCGTAGCGAGAAAAAAGGAGACCGGTAAGCCTTCAGTTCTTATAATTAGCTTCCGCTACAGGAACAGAATGAATTGCGCGAATTTTTTACTCATTTACGTTCCAATATAATGTCAGCAGTTGAGTTAAAAGTGTTAAAACCCACTGTGCTAGGGTACATAAATAAAATGAAAGTGAACCGCCTTGGCAATTTTTGTCTCACAAATCTCGGCGTACATTAATCACTGTGTTAGATCACTTTCTTCATTTTAATTTCGTTTCGAATTAAAATACTTCTTACCAACAATTGATTTGGTATATTTTACAGATTTTCAATCATATGTGCGATAAAAGCCTATAATGGTAATTATTGTGTTTTTATTCGTTATTACCGCGAACATTTTAATAATAATTAGTAATTTTATAAACGGTTGTCTATATACAGGGTGTAAACCAACTAGTGGGCAATATTTGAGTATTCTAGAAGACAAAATAAGACGAAAATCAAGAGTGACAAAATGACGATCCGAGCTTCATTAATTACTTATTAATAAATAAAAATTGGGCATTTTTGCGCCTGAATCAGGCAATTCGACTTGCGTCGTCGTATGACTGACAGCTGATAGAATTCGTTCGAATACGCATCTAGTACAATTATAGACTTATCCATAAATAATAGGACAATTAATTTTCAATCGCTTCTCATCTTTTTGCTTGAATTTATATGAGGTTAAAAATATGATTCGAACAATAGATACTCTATGATAATCACTTTGCATATTATAAAAAACTATTTCATGGCTCACAGACGACAATACAGAATATCTGTGTCAATAAGGGGAAAGTGCTATTGTTAGAGTTTATTTATCTTCCTCAACCCCACGTATGATGCCGGAGTTTTACGCGAACAGAACACGAACACCCCGTACAACTTAGCGGAGCTCACGTACAAAATATTGGGCTTAAGGGTGATTTATGAACCTCAAGAGAGTAGCAATCTGATCAGCGATAAACACGGAACCGATACGAAGTTGGTCAAGAAGTTGGAGTGTGCGGTGGCTCAGGATTGCTCTCTCCAATCGAACGACACCAAACAAAGTTCTCTGCCTCGAACGTTGTTTACACTTCCATCTTATCTTAATTTCATATTCAATTTAAAAATACTTTTAAATTATACATGTCTTTTATTTAAGAGGACTGTTCTCTTTCTGATTGTTCTATGCTTTAGATATATTATTTTTCTAAAATGATAATTTTGTCCTCAATTTTGTTGAATCGACATA